CTTGTTTTTGAGCACTTTACATATATTAGAAAATATTTTGAGAATAAAGTATCTTCTCTACAGCATTCTTGTAATTTATGATGGTATCTATGTATTATGTATGATACTTAAGGAGCACGGAACCGCAGCCTTAATAACTCACTGTGTATAAACAGATTCAGATATGGAGTATAAAACGCAAAATATATCAATTTTGTTTAAACAAAATTAACAACACTGTTGAAAGTTGCCATGTAACATTCAACAGTGTCAGTTATATCCTTTTTGCTATAACTTTTTAAGCATTTGTTATTACAAATTTACGAAATTGCTTGAAGAGGTCAATCATCGTGCTGACGAAAACTAGCAATGCATAAGAAATTAACATCAAAATAAATTGTATACCCAGAGTTACACTTATGTTTTTGTGTAATTCACAATCTTGGGTAAGGTTTAGATACTACTTCATAACAATCGATAATTTTTTAATTTTTCTGTTTTTTGACCTTGTTCATAAACATGTCTATTTATCTATGATGATAAATAAAACAGTAAATAATTAGATAATAATAAACCCATCGCAATGTGCATATTTTTCTCATAAGAGATATATATCTCTTTTTAATCTTATCTGGATCTGTTTTTATCACTTGATGCAATAAAAAGCATTACCCTCGACCTCAACCTTTTTACACGTAGGTATGTCAATTTAAAACTTCAAAAAAATATTGTAGCAAAATTGCAGGTAGGTAGGTAGATACTATTTACTAATTAATAATTACATTCTTAAGCAAGCAAACAGTAATAGGTTTTATAAAACTGCAAGAAGTTGTCTAATCGTCACTAATAGCAATAATTGATAGCTAATTTATTGGAACGCAGCGAATTGATTCGCTTAAAATTTAATTGTTATATAATAATTACAAATCCGATTAAACAAATTAAAACTAAAAATGTGTTTGAGAACTTACAATAAGTTGCCATTTGTTTCCCTTTTCAAATATAAATTTAAAAAAGTTCCAGCCTCAGCATGAGTCTCCAATGATGTGTAACATCTAATCATGACAGTATCAACTTTAACTAGATTGACTAATATACATTATAATACATATTCATCATTACCATAATAATTATCATCATAAGGGCGTCAGTCCTGAGCCTGGTTAGACACGCACCTCCACTTATTTTGATTCTGAGCTAACCTTCGAATTTCTCTAAATTTAGAACATTCCATCATATCCATAATTATTTGTAAACAGTAATTTAATCTAGGTCTACCTTTATTCCTTCATACTCGTGTTTCTGCTTCTAATATGTCCCTAGCTAGGCCCCCATGCCTGAAAAGGTATCCTACAAACCTATCTTGCCTATTTCTTATTGACTTCCATAGAGTCCTCTGTTCTCCTATTCTTTCTAATACCTCTTCATTTCTACCTTTCTGTATCCACGGTATCCTCATTATTCGTCTGTAACACTACATTTCAAACGCTTTGAACCTTTTCTTTTCCGCCGCGCCCATCGTGCCTATTTCTTATTGACTTCCATAGAGTCCTCTGTTCTCCTATTCTTTCTAATACCTCTTCATTTCTACCTTTCTGTATCCACGGTATCTTCATCATTCGCCTATAACACCACACTTCGCACGCTTCTAACCTTTTCTTTGCCGCCGCACCCACCGTCCATGTTTCGTACCCGTACAGCCCGCGCTCCAAACATACACCTTTAAAATTTTTTTTTCGAATTTCCAAATTAACCTCCTCTGTACAGTTCTAGTTGAGATTTTTGACACATGGGAAGTTAAGCTAACTGTTCTAAATGTCTCGCATCTATCCCCGCCTCTCTTTTTAGGTATGGTTACTACCACATTCCGTTTATAATCTTTTGGGACTTTCCCCATCTCGTAAATGTGACTAACTAACTTAGACATACGATCTCTAACCTTTTATCCTGCATGATTTGGAATTTCCCCCTGTATCCCATCTACACCTGGCGCCATATTATTGTTTAAGTTTTTTAATGCTACATTGAACTCTTCTCTCATTATGGGATAACCTAGCTCATCTATCTCCACACTGTCTTCCTTCTCTAAAATTTCTCCTAATGACCTGCGTATAGGTTCTCTAAATATTCTTTCCATCTATCTGCCTTTTCGTCATTTTCTATTTAAATAACCCCTGCCTCGTTTCTTATATTATTACTACTGTACCCTTCATCTCCAAAATTCCTTTTAATTATATTATAAGCCTCGTCGGTTTTACCTACTTCAAACTTTTCTTCTACTTTACTCCTCCTATCAATCCACTGTTCCTTAGCTGACCTACATTTCCTAATTATTTCCCACTTTAGTTTTTGAGATACTGAAATGTTTCTGAAAAAAAAAAAAACGCGATTTCACCTTCTTTGAATGATACCAAATAGCATCTAAACCATAAAAGCTAAAATCTTGCGATTTGGATAGTTCGTTTTAGGATGAATTACCATATCTTATTTGCTATGGGCAAAATTTGTACGTTATTCAGAGCCGGAAATATCGAAACATACTTTTGACAATCTTACAAGACCAATAATTTTCTTTTTTAAATGGAATGACCCATATTAAAAGATACCGTTCGATGCCAAATAAAAACTGCCTTAGGTGGGACACTCTGTGTAATCTTTAAGGTTTCTCTAACACTGTCAGAATATACTAAATGTTCCATATAAAAAATGATGATTTCGGTAAATCGTACTTGTTTTTGAGCACTTTACATATATTAGAAAATATTTTGAGAATAAAGTATCTTCTCTACAGCATTCTTGTAATTTATGATGGTATCTATGTATTATGTATGATACTTAAGGAGCACGGAACCGCAGCCTTAATAACTCACTGTGTATAAACAGATTCAGATATGGAGTATAAAACGCAAAATATATCAATTTTGTTTAAACAAAATTAACAACACTGTTGAAAGTTGCCATGTAACATTCAACAGTGTCAGTTATATCCTTTTTGCTATAACTTTTTAAGCATTTGTTATTACAAATTTACGAAATTGCTTGAAGAGGTCAATCATCGTGCTGACGAAAACTAGCAATGCATAAGAAATTAACATCAAAATAAATTGTATACCCAGAGTTACACTTATGTTTTTGTGTAATTCACAATCTTGGGTAAGGTTTAGATACTACTTCATAACAATCGATAATTTTTTAATTTTTCTGTTTTTTGACCTTGTTCATAAACATGTCTATTTATCTATGATGATAAATAAAACAGTAAATAATTAGATAATAATAAACCCATCGCAATGTGCATATTTTTCTCATAAGAGATATATATCTCTTTTTAATCTTATCTGGATCTGTTTTTATCACTTGATGCAATAAAAAGCATTACCCTCGACCTCAACCTTTTTACACGTAGGTATGTCAATTTAAAACTTCAAAAAAATATTGTAGCAAAATTGCAGGTAGGTAGGTAGATACTATTTACTAATTAATAATTACATTCTTAAGCAAGCAAACAGTAATAGGTTTTATAAAACTGCAAGAAGTTGTCTAATCGTCACTAATAGCAATAATTGATAGCTAATTTATTGGAACGCAGCGAATTGATTCGCTTAAAATTTAATTGTTATATAATAATTACAAATCCGATTAAACAAATTAAAACTAAAAATGTGTTTGAGAACTTACAATAAGTTGCCATTTGTTTCCCTTTTCAAATATAAATTTAAAAAAGTTCCAGCCTCAGCATGAGTCTCCAATGATGTGTAACATCTAATCATGACAGTATCAACTTTAACTAGATTGACTAATATACATTATAATACATATTCATCATTACCATAATAATTATCATCATAAGGGCGTCAGTCCTGAGCCTGGTTAGACACGCACCTCCACTTATTTTGATTCTGAGCTAACCTTCGAATTTCTCTAAATTTAGAACATTCCATCATATCCATAATTATTTGTAAACAGTAATTTAATCTAGGTCTACCTTTATTCCTTCATACTCGTGTTTCTGCTTCTAATATGTCCCTAGCTAGGCCCCCATGCCTGAAAAGGTATCCTACAAACCTATCTTGCCTATTTCTTATTGACTTCCATAGAGTCCTCTGTTCTCCTATTCTTTCTAATACCTCTTCATTTCTACCTTTCTGTATCCACGGTATCTTCATCATTCGCCTATAACACCACACTTCGCACGCTTCTAACCTTTTCTTTGCCGCCGCACCCACCGTCCATGTTTCGTACCCGTACAGCCCGCGCTCCAAACATACACCTTTAAAATTTTTTTTTCGAATTTCCAAATTAACCTCCTCTGTACAGTTCTAGTTGAGATTTTTGACACATGGGAAGTTAAGCTAACTGTTCTAAATGTCTCGCATCTATCCCCGCCTCTCTTTTTAGGTATGGTTACTACCACATTCCGTTTATAATCTTTTGGGACTTTCCCCATCTCGTAAATGTGACTAACTAACTTAGACATACGATCTCTAACCTTTTATCCTGCATGATTTGGAATTTCCCCCTGTATCCCATCTACACCTGGCGCCATATTATNATCTCCAAACCTAACCTAACCAAACAATAACGTCACCAATGCATATATATCAGGCGATCGCACTAGAACTGCATAAACACAGATAACTCTGATTCTCAGTTTACTAATGTTTCATTCATTTTATTCACAGAAAGCATTAGTTTTATACATTTCCTAGTACAATATCGGAATTTCATACAATTCCTAGGAAATGTAGACATTTCCCAGGATATGTGTGTATTAAAAAATCTTTGAAATGATATGTTATAGATTTCCTAAATAGCCTCGAAATTGTATACATTTCCTAGGAATTTCCTAGATTTCATACATTTCAGGTAACATACATAGCATTACCATAAGAACAGTAAATTACCTGAGCGTTAAAAATTATCGCGTTTTTCATATCAAGTAAAGGTAATATTTATATGACACAGTTATTGCTAAAAGAAGTACCTTCAGCTGAAATACTTTTAATCTTACTCAGGGCATATTATCAGCGTTAGAATCTATAGATGTAAATCTACCCTTTGATTTGGAAAAAGGGGTGAAAAGCATGTTTGAGGAACCTTACGCATTCTTTAGTGCGACTATTCGAGAATTAATGTTTGAAGGAACTACTATTTGCCATCCCAATAAAACTGATTCGATTGGAAAACTACTTTGTCTTGTTCTTATGCTTATAAGGCAGAAAAACATGATATATAATGATGATTTATCAATTACGTTCTCGTTTTTTGGCTACGTAAGTTCGGTTTTCAGTTTATTTTTTTGTATAATAAGGACGCTAGTTATTAATAATTACCTACAAGTTAATTGGCTTTTGTAATATTTTAACGTTGTTTAGAACACATATGAATTAGAAGAAGTTTGTTGTTCTTTTATGCACGTAGTTAATTCGATTAATTTCATTCCATTTTCTACCTTTTAGAGAAATAACACCAACGATGGTGTTTATTCAGTAAACACTGGTGAAAGCGACATATCAAAAGTTGGTACAATTTCAACATGGGAAAATTCTGCATATACTACTTATTGGAGTGGATCAAAATCGTCTTGTAATAGAGTGGAAGGATCCAGAACTACAGTTTTTCCGCCATTTTTGGAAGAAAGCATGAAATTTGACGTTTTTAGTACAGACATTTGCAAGTAAGTCCTTTATTTCAAATTTTTAGTATGGATATAGAGCATATAGCGGTCAAGATACTGATTACGATAAAAAAAGATAATTACAACAAAAAAAATATTTCCCTTGAACATTTTTCCCGGATGAAAGTATATTCTATGTGTAAAATCACACACAATATTAAAGGTAAACGTTTATTAGATTGTAAAAAAAATTATTGTGGATTTTATCACCTTGACTAAATTACTAAATTTTTAAAGAAATTTTATGTAGGTATAAAATCTTATTTTAAAGTGCACTTATTGCAGTATAAAGTCAACGATAACAGTTTCAATTGATTGCACATCAGCAAACGGTTACCAACTTTTTTAGTAGAATTTGCTTGGGCTTTGCAAAGTGTTTTGGAACTTCATCGCGGTTTAACAAATAATTCGATTGTTTTCAAATGTACTACTACAGAATGTGATCAAGAAACAATCCGTTTTGGATGCGGAACTGTGTAGACGACCGTTTCTCATGACGTCGTTTTGTTTGATTTTCGTTAATCTGATTATAATTAACCAATCTCTCGGAAGTACAGTTGCAAAATACAATTACTATGTCTAATACGGAATGATTTTAACTAAAACCTTTGGGCGGTAATTGTTATCCACCTGTACAGTCGACCAACATTACCGTATTCTTATATAATTCACTGCACAGCCCTCTAACCAAGCATACAGGCTATTAGCCAAGTGCTCCTCGAGTCCACAACAACTGGCGAGGGAGGTACCAAAGCTAAACTCCTAGACACCCCCCGCCTCCGAGGTAGTAGGAAGTATAAGCACACCCGTGACAATCGGCTACTCCGACGCACCGGAGTGACACCTCCTAACACCCTACGGCCTCCTGGTTTGCCCGGACTACTACGCTTTTCACATCTACACTGCTTTCACTTAAAAGTGTGTAGTCCCCTAAATGGGTCAGACTGCACATCCCACCCACGTATGAGTGCTTTGCCCAACACGCTTCTTGTCGTAACCCCCCTAATAGGTCATGCCCGTCCCCTCTACGAAGACGTTTTGTGCATTAACGTGGCGATATCTTCTACGGCCCCCATAGGCGCGGGATTGAAGTACGTTCAATTAGCGCATGCAAACATTTACTTGCATTACCACTACTTACAAGGCCTGCGGACCCCTTTGGTGTAGGCGAGGTCCATCTATTCCTTTTCAACCTCACAGGTTGGTGCCCTAGCAATTTTTGACCGCCGCTGACCTACCGGGGAAAGACTCCCCTTGTCCAGCTAGTGGGCTTAACCATTGCCGCTACGAGTAAAATCACAATTGGACCGGCAGATAGGAATACCTCCCGTAATAATAGTCAAAATCACTGGTGAGGTGTTCGGAGCAACAATAGCAACTTCTTTAAGTTGAGATTTTTTACAACTCTCGATACTAGTTGAACAGCTCAGGTACGTGGGATCACCAAACTTAAACCTCTTTGCGTACAATACACAAAACAGTGCGGTTTTCAAATTTGTGACCCCACTTGATGCACACCATTGTGCCAGGACACTTTCTTCGCTTTGGAAACGGGTGTGGAAAGTGTCACATAGAAGACTGCTGACTTCGGCACCTGCCGAGGTTCTCATGCGATTGTAACTGAACTTGTCGAAAACCACATTGGGAGAGCCTCCCTTTCGACGGGACGCCGACAGTACACAATGTCAGCCTACTACGTTTGTGTTGGGCTTACAATGCGTTCAATGCCAACTGCTGGTTTCCGCGACATCTCAACACACCAGATGGGTGCTTCCGGACCTTTGCCCGTGTTTGCCGGCTACTTCCTACCTGCATTTTGTCTTCAGATGCTCGGGGTCCTTTAGCTTCGCCATAACATGCGTATGGATACTGTTCCCCCCTAGCGACAAGGTTAGAACCCTGATATTCAATCAGTTATTAAAAACTATTCACACGACAGGAATATATATGTCGAAGCAGAACACGTTCTGACACAAAGTCGCATTTCTTTGATAAACAGTTTGAAATGATAATTACAATCACTGATTTTACTAGTCGGTAGTATCTCAGTTTGATAACTTCTGGGTGCCACTTAGGAGGTTTGTTTAAAATAATTTCAAATAACTTACAATATATAGTTCCTTTTTTATTTTCCAAAAGTCCATTAATACCTACATTACAAGCATGGCGTTTATCCAATTACTACCGAGATCTATATGGATTGCGTATATTTGAGTACATTGTTTAGACCAGCATTAGAGGCTGGTGGGAATGAAACACCCAAAAGTTTTTTTTTTTATATTGAAAGTAGAACCTAATACGAGTAACTTACTAGGATATGATATTATTCGTCAATATTACCGCTTCGTTTTATGGATGGTGCGTTGTTATTGAAAAACAATTTAAAAAAATAATGAAATACTATTGTTAGCAATTGTTTCACTGTTTTGTTTGTGGAACTTCGAACATAGAAATATTTGTAGTCGTGGTTTTTTGGGCCTTCTAACCGTCGTCTTTTAAGGTTTATCCTCGACGTTTCGTCGCCACACACGGACGACATCTTCATGTGGTCAGTAGAAAGCAGGAAAAACCATGACTACATTAACGATGGCCGCGAAAGCTTGACGCAAATATAAAAATATTTATAAGTTACTCACAAGGATTAGATAAGGATTAGATTTTCTTAATCAATAATAGGATTAAAATTCCTAAAGATTACGATAAAGATATCTTATATAAAGAAACATTTCTTCCATTTTGTTCAATTGTTTAAACAATTGTGGTTAAACTGAATCTTGCGTGCGAATCTGTCATGATTATGACCGCCTCAAGATGTCAAACTATATCTTATTTTGCAACCCTCTTAATTCTTAAATAATAATAATAATGTGTTTATTTAGCTTTTTGCTACATTGATTACATTAATATATAAAAAGTAATTTAGAATATTAATAATAACAATTAACTTTATTTTCTACAAATACTTATAGGTATCTACTAATTGCTTTTATGATCCCAGTCTGCTGTCAATGTAGTAACATTTCAATTTAAAAACTTGTGGGTGAAGGGAAAAATGGCCCTAGCCATGGTCCCATTTAGTTATTTAGCCGTTTTCGACAAAAAAAAAATATTTGCGGCTCTTTACAGTAAGAAATATATATAAGTCACAGCGGTTATCATAAAATTTACGAACTCTGGAGAGGGAACCAAATCAGCCAAGGAAGCGGTATAGAGCTAAGAACACCAGTAAAACCACCAACGTTTGACGGAAAGTCCTCATGGACTACAAGCAATTCGAGGCGGCTGTTAAGGCGAATAACTGGGCGCCTGAAGAAAAAGTCACTGCGTTGACCGTTGCGCTTCGTGGAGATGCATGTGACATTTTGAACACCCTTTCTCCGGAAGAATTGACGGATTATACACAGTTGGTAAAACAGTTAGAGTTGGGCTACGGCGAGGCTCATTTGACAGCGGTGTATCAAATCCAACTGAAAACCCGTCAGCAGAAACCAACGGAATCCCTACAAGAATTCGAGGCCGATATTGCGAGACTGTCCCGACTGGCCTATCCTAATACAGGGTCTGTCCGGAAAGTAATAGGACTGATTTCCTTCCGCTGCGACTGTACTTCGGAGCGTGCGCGTACCGACTGGATTCGGTAGAGGGCATTCCTAGCTAACGAACGAGCGGCTGATGAGTTGTCTCCGAGCACCTGGAGAATCAGAACAGGCTTTTTCGCGTGACGTGTGAGTGGTGTAAACCGAAAATGCAGCGTTCGTTAGAGCAGAGGTACGGGATTAAATTNAAAATTAAAAATTGTTAAATACAATAATACTTAAAACCAATGCTTCTAATAAATCTAATAAATAAACTAATAAACTAAAAGCATTAAGCCTGAAAAGTTTACCATGAACTTCTCAACCTAAGCGCTTTTGGTTTTAGTTTCTAATCTGTATACATTCCTTAAAATAATTTATTAGATCAGGAAAAGTATATTTTACAATTTGTATGATAGGTACTTTATTTTTAAAAGTTTATTTTACATTCTTTTATTTACTTATGCAAATATACCGAATTTGGATAAATGTAAATAACATTATTTACTGTATACATGTAAATATATGTAGTTATTACGTATAAATAATAGATAATTTCTTACTTACACTTACACCAGTCTAACATTACTAAAACTGCTATTTAAATAAAGTAGGGAAACCATCGATTTTGCAATTAGAATTAAATTAGGTCTTTACACTCCTAGATTTTTATTATCTCTTACTTTTAATATTAATAACATGAGAATACTTTTACTTAGTGCTTTTATGTTCTATAAATAAATATATGCTATTAGTGAATTACCTATTAGGTGCTAACTTAGGCTAATCTTCCGAATGGGATCTACCGAATTGGGGTCGACTGATTCCTACCTTTTTGGAAAGATTTAACCAAAATCTTTCGAATGATATCACTCCCAGCTCGTGAACGAGTTGACATTTGACCTATCTGGAGACTTTTACCAAACCTGGATTATGTAAGTTTGTGTTATATTACATTCTGTAACATTATTTAGTTTATGGTGGGTAAAAGCTCTGGCGAGAAGAATTTCCTATTCAAAGAGGCTCCAACTAGAGTTGTATTTAGTGCTAAAATGGATCAAACGTCATCTTCTTCTTCGGGCACTGGAAGTAGTATCATGCGAAAGGTGCTGACCTAAGCTCTCCAAAAAAGTGTCACATGACTCCCAATTCAGTGGGTATATGTATAAGATCAATTGTAATTTACTTGTATCTTCGATTTTAGTTGAGCTTTACCAGTAGTTTTCTAATGATTTTTCCAATTCTTTTGGACTAGTATTGGGACCGTGCCTTTCCACCGGTTTGCCATTTTTGTCAACAATAAACTTAGTGAAGTTCCATTTTATAAAATCCCCGATTAAGCCACCCTGCTCGTGTTTCAAGTATTTCCATAATGGATGCCCTTCAGAGCCATTAACGTCTATTTTTTCAAAAACGTCAAATTTAATTTTTTCTCTATCAATCCAATCTTTTATTTCGTCGTTGTTTTCGGGCATTTGATTTGCGAATTGATTACAGGGAAACGCAAGAATTCTTAAACCTTTACTTTCAGAAAATTTTTCATACAATTCTTTCAGTTCTTCAATGTGATTTTTCATGTAACCACAATGAAACGCTATATTAACGATTATGCATACGCAATCTTTATATTTTTTGAGAGAAACATTTTCGCCGTCTAATGATCTTGCACTAAAATCGTATATCGACTTTGCTTCTCTCCAATTTTCTGGATTTCCACTTTCTTTATCCATTTTTTTATGAGATTCTTCCATCTACCAATGTTTTCTCTTTAAGAGTAGATTTCTTACTGAATTGTTTGTTAGAAACTGAAGAATCAACACAGCAGATGTATTGATCTTTAAGCGTTTGCGTAACAAATGTTGATAAAAGATTAATTTAACCAAATGGTTTTCTGCTTGGCATAAGTATGGCACCTAAACGTTGGAGGTATTCTTCGTATTACGCCAAACACATAAATTAACATTATTTATGTATTGTCCATTACCGTATTGTTTGAAATAAGGTACCATTATAACCATAATCAGTATTCCCGACAATAAATCGATGACGTATGAATGACAGAGTTATTATTCGAAAAGCCATACTAATATATGTCTCTAATTGTCTCTAAATTGCTCTACTAAAACGCAATTCTTTTCCATAAGGTTTTAAATTGACAGAATATGTATATATCAAAACAATAAGTCCGTATATATTGAAGACAAATACATTGTATTATAATAAAATTTTTTAATATCGATAACAAATTATTAAGGAGTGTACGTATCACCCATTCTAAATTGCAGCAGACATTTTTAAAATGTCTAGTACTTCTTAGTCTCTCTAGGACGAGACGGTATGTAAACTGTACCGTCTCACAAAACGAATAATTGTCTTCTATCTGGATCTAGGATCTATTTCATGGATATATAGTGGTTAGGTTAGGCTTTAGTAAAAGTGTAAGGGTCACTAGTAATAAAAGGAACAGTGAAAAAGAACGGGGTAGTGGGACAAAACGGATCTCTAAACACGAGTGAAACGTACATATTTATCGTAAAATGTTGAACACCCTATTTAAAACAAATTATATATATATAAATATATATATATTAGTGCTT